CTCGGGCATATTATCACCGAAAATGGGATACGACCCGATCCGGAAAAATTACGCGCAGTAAGCGAATTTCCGGTACCGAAAAAAATTAAAGATATTCAGGCATTTATAGGTTTAGCCGGATACTATCGAAAGTTTATCGAAGACTTTTCAAAAATAGCAAAACCGTTGACAATCCTAACGAAGAAAGGAGTCAAATTCGAATGGACAGAAAAACAGCAGAACGCATTCGAAATGTTAAAAGTAAAATTAACTACCGCTCCAGTACTGAATTACCCGGACTTTACCAGAGAATTCCTGGTAACAACAGACGCATCCGACTATGCAATCGGAGCCGTACTGTCGCAAGGTGCCGTAGGTCAGGATAAGCCTATTGCTTTCGCCAGTAGAATCTTAAATAAGGCGGAACAAAATTATAATACTACCGAGAAGGAACTATTAGCAATAGTATGGGCCGTGAAATATTTCCGTCCATACCTATACGGAACTACTTTTACAATAGTGACGGATCATAGACCATTAGTTTGGCTCTTTAACGTCACAGACCCAGGCTCTCGATTAATGAGATGGAGATTAAAGCTGGAAGAGTATGACTATAAGATAGTTCATAAAGCCGGTAAAGGAAACACAAATGCAGACGCGTTGAGTAGACATCCGATACCGGAGAGCGTCCGTGTGAATGAACTGCACGAGGAAGACGAGGAGGAAGAAGACAACAACGAGGGAGAAAAAGAAGACACGATGCGCGAATACACGGAGGAAGAGAAACAGCAAATATTATTCGAGTACCATGATGCACCGACGGGAGGGCATCAGGGGGTAGCAAGAACGTTAAAAAGAATAAGATTGCTACATGACTGGCGTGGCATCACAAAAGACGTCGAAAGTCATATTAACAAATGTAAATTATGTCAAAAGAATAAATTGAGTCGGAAAACGAAAATGCCTCTTGTAATTACAGATACGCCGGAAAGAGCATTCGAAAAATGCGCATGTGACATAGTAGGGCCATTGACAATAACGACAAACGGAAATAAATACGTTCTGACTTTCCAGGACTTGTTAACTAAATTTAGCAAGGCAATACCAATAGAAAATCAGGAAGCAGCT